GTCTCAGTCGTTATGAATTAGAAAAAACTACTGCGAACAATTGTTATGATCATTAGGGCCTATATTCACTTTATACAATTGGAAAACGACGTATATCGTGCCCGAGGACTGCCTCCAACTCATCACATGTTCTCATTTATTCGGCATGGTCCTGTTACGGCGAAAAGTAAGTTTAAAATTCAGAAACGAGCACAAGCCGAAATAATTAAACATTCTTTATAGAAAATGACTTGCGTATTAATACTGTACGAAAAGGACAGAAAACTCCAGTTTTAAGACTGTATTTTAATACGTATTTTGAATATACCAAAATGCTTTGCTAATTAATTACATGCGTATTTATAGTGTTGTTAACACTAATACATATACCTAATCTTCATCCTGAAAGAAATCTAACGTAAAAGCGTGACTATAACTAAAAAAGCATTGGTTGCATATTAATAACCAAATCCTTTAAATTTTAAATATCCGCTACATAACATAATTGTATTTGTAAACCAAAACATTTTAACATATGCCCAGTACCGTATATTATATTTTACTAGTTATATTAATTACGTTATTAAAAGGGTAAAGTCTTCAAAACTTACTGTGAATATGTCATTTTCTTGCGATGCTGAAATAATAACTAAACCTTAGTACATGTTAACATGTAGTGCATGCATGAATGGTATTGACACAGCCGGGTCTGTTACCCAACCGTGAAGATTATGACAGTCTGACCAAATCCTTCCGTTATCAACGTCTATTACATTTTCCAACATCTCCAGCAGACTTCTAGAGTTTTTACATACTTAATTAACATCTTAACCTACCGACCAATATAGTCTCAAAAATTATACACTAAATTTTCAAACAAAGTTAGGCTTATATTACGAATACTGTTTTTTTTTGCTACATTCAAACGTTGCAAGCAATGAAATGTAAATTGGTGTTTTTTGTGAAATAAATTGAAATGTAAATATAAATATCATAAAACAGTAAGATAATATTTTTTTTTTCTAATCTAAATCTATAATGTTTACGGGAAGTATATAGGTCTATAGATAATATATAATGTAATATTAAATTGTATTGTGCTGTCTTGTTAAGCATAATGTCAAGAACTTTAAATGTTGTTACCAATAATTAGTTGGTAATAAAAGTGCCTACATACCATATGAATGTTTTACAATTATTCTGCGAAAGGAAATGACTGATATTTTTCTTCCGAAACCATAAGAACAATATTTATCTCTTCCGAATATTATTATTGTTGATATAAACAAAATGATAAGGAGTAATCGTACAATATAATGCAAATAATGGTTTAAAGGAAGTATTAATAGCAATTTATCTATCTGGCAAAACTAGTTTGTCATTAATCCCTCTTAAAATAAAAGTTGTAAAATAGACGTTAACTATAACATTTCTTCAGACAATTTAAAGGCAATTAATCATCAGCGTCAATCAGAACGTGTACGACACTACACCTAAAACAATATAAAGGGAAAAAAATGATCTATACAAAATTTGAATGGAATATCAGTTGTCTAGTCTCGTACAGCATATAATATATAAGCCTTTATTGGCCTACATACATATAGGCCTATATTTTATGTAGCTTATAAACCTATACAGTATATTAATAAAATCCTGTATTTTTTACTTAAGGTCAACGGCAAGTTCAGCTGTACACATTATGCTACCACTTGCGTTTATAGCTTTCACTGTGTACTCAGCGTCGTCATCTTCGACGACATTCATTATGAGCAAAGAACAAGCGCCATTATTCGAATTTTTCACTAAATATCGCTCGTTTTTGGGAATTTCTAGTCCGTCTTGATACCACTTTACAACCGGTGTAGGATCGCCAATCACAATACAATCGAACTGTGCCTGCTGGCCTTCTGTGACTGTGCTACTGCGTATTTTCTTAAGAAATTTAGGCTTTACGCCGTCTTTCGACCCTCTTTGTCCGGAGTGCGGCCATACGTTCTGCCCTCCTGAGGCTTGATTACCTGATTCATTTGTCTGTGTTGTTTTTTTAGATTTGACATCTTTTGTGGAAACTAGTGACTCAGATGTTTTACTTACGAACTTCGAGAACGAATCTGTTGACAGCCTCTTCACTAATCCGCCAGAAGGGGATCGTTTTTGAGGTGGATTTTCATCTTTAATGACAGGTGCGAATTTATCATCAGTCCGTTTATTTCTAGAACTGCTAGGAATCGTATTGTTACTGGTTTCATTTAAGTTAATGTCGACATGGGTGTCGTTACTATTATTCAACTTGTTGATATTTGAAGCTTCACGCTTACTTTTTAAAATGCTAGAGAATGGAGTTATTCCGCCGCTGGTGGAGTCTTCCTGACTGGACAATCGATTACGCGTACCGAACATAGAAAGTGAAGCCATACGTGATATGGCTCTTACGGCATTAGCGGTTTTCTAAACAAAATGATAAAAAATGCTTGTGTTTATTTGCTGCTTCACAATAGTCTTATCATAAGCCTATCAATATGAATTAAAAAAGTCGATATTATAAATACTGTATAACCATATTTAATGTGAATATAATATGGTAATCTCGGAGAATAGATACCAGTACTATTTTGTGCTTTAAACAAATTTAAAACCACTAACATCAAGCATCAGAATGGTCAACGCGTCTGCAAGGTATATAGTGTCTTTTTTAATGGAATTGAAAAAGAAATAATGCAAGATATTATGATGAATGAATCGAACATTGAACCTTGAACTCAATACATAGATTTTGAAGTTGAACAAAGAGTGACTGTACAAACCCAACAAAGATGAAAATGAGGATGATGAAAAAATAAAGGTAATACATTTCTTACCTGCCATCTTCTCCTGGCGACGAACTTCTTTAGTTTATCCGTGGAGATCTTCGTGGTCTTCATGGTTTTTGTGTCTTTCGTTAGCCACTTATGTTCCAATCCATCAGCTGCAGACATTCGTTTACTAGATACATGAAATAAATGACAAAAATAACAACAATAATAATATTTTTTTTTAAACATTTCAACAACTTTATTTCAGATATACATAAAACCTTGGTTACCCTTAAAGAAGGGAAGGCAAGAAAAAATTTCATATTAAAAGGTTATAGTATAAAAAACCGGCCTATCAGCAATCAGTAAATATTAAATATTAGAGAGTACTAGTAAAAAAACACCAGTAATAATTAATAATAATAATAATAATAATAGTAGTAGAAGTATTATCATTATAATATAGCAGAAGTATTATCATTATAATAGTGGTATTATTAATATCATTATAATCGTAATTATTATTATCATTCTTTTTATTGTACACAGTAGGTGTAATTTTGCCCTACCTGACGTGGAAATGTACCAAATACTCAGTACATTTGAAAACAATCGCAAGTTGTTCTCGGCGAGACTCGAACCCACGATCTCCAGAACACTAGCATCATACCTCTAGACCACCGAGCTTGCGCCTGATGGCCAGGGTTGTATTCGAGTCTAAGTAAGCAGCGGGTACTACAGTGTTGATAGTAATTGTTATTGTCGTGATGGAATAATAAACAATAACTGGATTTGCGTCAGGAGAAACATGTATAGGTGTAATTTTGCCTTACCTGACGTAGAAATGTACCGAATAGGCCTACTTAGTACATTTGAAAACAATTGCGAAATCGCAATTTGTTCTCGGTGGGACTCGAAACCACGATCTCCAGATCACTAGCCTGGCATCATACCTCTAGACCACCGAGCTTGTGCCTGATGGCCAGTGTTGAATTCGAGTCCAAGTAAGCAGCGGGTACTGCAGTGTTGAGGGGACACAAGAGAGGGGAAAACGCCCAAACAGATTAAATATGAGAGGGCACAGAAAATCAAATGAAAGATTGGAATAAACAAAATGCACACAATTACTGCGTAGAACATTATTGTTATATATTTAGCGAATTATTATTAGGCCTAAGTGTATTAAGATCCTTGTTTACTGGAATTTTTAATTATTGGATTAATATATGAATAAATATAGATTTAATTCTTTAGAGAAATTGCACTTCATTGATTCAGATTCTCAAAAGAGGGAGCTAATAATAATAATTATTATTCTATTATTATTATTATTATTATTATTATTATTATTATTATTATTATTATCGTCGTCCTCATAATTTTATTGTTTTCGTCGTCGTCATTATTATCATTATTATTATATTATAATAATTATTATATCAAATTATGAATAGAGTAACCACTCCATTAATATACCAACCACATAGGTTTTCTTACACACCATATATTATCTTTAGATTGATGGAGAAATAGATACAAATATTTTAATCCCGTATTTCACGGTAATAACAGTTGTTCATTTAAAGTGCCTAGGTGTTTACGTGAAAGTTTTATACAACCGTCAGCCACGGTTAAATTACTAAAGTTAGGCGCCGGATTATATACCTATGATGTTCATCACAGATTGGATGCAGCTTCATCATTAAATATGGGAACCACTAATAAAAATATAATAATAAAATAATAATATAACAATAATCAGTAATAATATTATAACATTACAACAACAATAATAATAATAATAATAATAATAATAATAATAATAATAATAATAATAATAATAATAATAATAATAATAAACAGAAATTCTGTAATAATATACAGAAATATATACAGAAAATAATAATATCCATCTATTGAATGTTCAACTTACTCTTTATTCTTTAAAAGTAGTTTTTCAATGAAGTCTCTAGCTTCATCTGAAATTTCATCAAATGATTCATCATCAAAATCCCATTCTGCCATGGTAACTGCGCTCAGTGTTTCTGCGTCGTTATCTCCCATGAAAGGAGAAAGTCCACTCAAACTAAAATAAAAATACGTACGCGTAAGCTTGTACGAACACAATTTGCTATTCAAACGACTGAATCAATGAATGGAATGAAATTATGAATAAATGAATGTATGTAATCAAGATAATAAAACAAAAAGACTAACTCCGAAAAGAGACAGACATTTTGAGAAAATGTCTCTGTCTCTTTGTTTTATTTAAGACTTAAATCAGTGGATCCTCTGGTAATCAAGATAAAACAGTTCACACTAGTCATATTCTCCCTCACTGAAACGGCAAAACAGTCAACCAGTGGTTTATCTCAAAATTCATATTCTTACACATTGTGTACCAAAAGTGTTACCGTATTAATTTATTTTACTATTGTACACCTACCATACAAAAAACAACAATAAAAAATATAAATAGGCCTAGAGTAAAGTTAAGGAAACTACTTATTATTAAAAAACAATATTTACAATTCTTCTGTAAGAAATTTGAAACTTACAGGATATAACAAATAACGCCAACACTCCACATATCTGTTTTATATCCAATTTTCTCATAATTAACAACTTCCGGGGCCACAAATTCAGGGGTTCCGAACATCACTTTCACCGACTGCTGTGGGTCGAATTTTCGTGCCAATCCGAAATCAATAAGTTTGATTGTGTTGCCTGTGGTATCAGTACAGAGGATATTTTCTGGTTTTAAGTCAAGGTGCAGAATATTCTGCGAATGCATGTGCCTTACTCCAGAACATATCTGACGCATGAATATTATTACATCCTTTTCAGTTAGAATAAAGTCGTCATCGATTACCCGTTCAAATAACTCTCCGCCGCGGACACTGAAAATAATATGTAAAATGTTGCTCAATTAATTATAATATATTACAGGGCATTTTAAACTGTAGATAGTAATGTTTATCGAGGTGGAATTTATCCAGGTTTAAACGATGAGTCGTCACATAATCAACTTGTTACTTAGTGAATTGCAAACTTCAAGCTTGTGCATTGTAATACAAACATATAATTACTTATGATAAAGAGGACGACTGTGTATAATTATATATATATATGCCTATATATAATATAAAATATTATAATATAATATAATATAATATACATAATAATATGATAAAGATATACACTAATCTGTATTGCGGTAATGCTATTAAAACGTCTGAAAAAGAAGAGGAATCTAGGCGTAAATGTATATATTTATATGTGTCTACATTGTATCGTGGCTTGTTTAAATATATCTTTTCTGGGATCCCGTCTTGTCGTTTAAAAAGATGTGGGCGTACCATATTGATGACTGTTCCTTGCAGTGCATCGAGAGCTAGGGCCGTTCCATTATGCATGTGGAAAAATTACGGAAAACCAGTTGCTTCTAATAGGATATTTGAATTATCAATGAACTCCCAGTAGCTCAGTTGGTTAAGGCGTCTGCATAGATTGAGGTCCCTGTATGTACTGTCTCTTATACACATCTAGATGTGTATAAGAGACAGTAATAATAATAGTAGTAGAAGTATTATCATTATAATATAGCAGAAGTATTATCATTATAATAGTGGTATTATTAATATCATTATAATCGTAATTATTATTATCATTCTTTTTATTGTACACAGTAGGTGTAATTTTGCCCTACCTGACGTGGAAATGTACCAAATACTCAGTACATTTGAAAACAATCGCAAGTTGTTCTCGGCGAGACTCGAACCCACGATCTCCAGAACACTAGCATCATACCTCTAGACCACCGAGCTTGCGCCTGATGGCCAGGGTTGTATTC